AGCATCGCGACGTCAAGTATAACGTCGGTGATAGAGTCTGGGCGAAGAATCGTATGCTGTCCTCCGCCGCTAACCAGACGACCGCGAAACTCAGCCCGAAGTACGCGGGCCCGTTCATCATTACCGCACGCCTCGGTCCCAACTCATACCAACTCCAGAACGAAGAAGGTTGTGACGTTGGTAAAGTCGCCGTCTGCGACTTGCGCCCGTGTTTCGACGGAGCTCGGTGCCCCGATGATGCAGCAGACAGTCCTCTCCCCGAAGGAAACGAAAACAACGAGACGATGTCGTTGAAAGGAATTCTCTCGCCCGATCGCACGCAAGAAAGCGACGAGCGCGATGCCTCGAACGACGCCGTTTCGGTCACAAAAGTTATAGGGCCAGAGGCCTCAGCAAGCCCACGACAGGACCTTGCGCAAGGCGACGTACCGACCGCCCCAAGGAGAAGAGGTCGTCCTCGCAAGCAGAAAATGCATGCTCCCGTCGATGTATCCCCTCGGCGCTTGCGTTCCAGGAACTAACACCCTACGACTTTGCCTGTTTCCTCATTTTCTTTCTGCTTATCTCACCTTCTATGCTAATAAAACTCTGTTACTGCTTCAAAGCTTCTCGCTTCCCTAGCAGACGCTATCGCTCGATGCAGCTAATTGAGTTCGTTTTCTTGCCTAACATTACGTATGCTTCGCCCTGTAGAGGATGCTGACCAACGCCGAAATAGCTCCCCTCGCCAAGTGGATGGAAGAAGTGCTGCATGAAGCACTCACGGCGGCCGTAGCTATCGCATCGCGCCGAAACGCTGCGCCGACGACGCGAAGGGACGCTTCTCCAGCTCCAGCTCTGGCCTACTCCAATGCAGTAGGGGACGACCCCGCTAACGAGTCGCGGGCCTCGTCAGATGATAACAGCGGCGCAAGTTCCGCGGAAACTACCCTAGACTTCCCCCAGAGGATGCTACGCAGGCCGAGACGGCCAGAGGGCAATGCAGACCGTAAAAGCGAGAATTCACCGGACCACGGCCTGAAGCACGCTAACGAGTCTCCTTGCTCCGCCCTGGCGGCCGCCGAGCGCTTGGAGGCCATCCTGCGGCAGCGCGGCTACGGCCCCGAGGAACGCGACGTCGCTACGAGTCTCAAGACCAAGGTAGACCCGGCCCCGACGACGAAAGAGCCACCTACCCTTGAAGAGGAGTGGAAGGTCCTCCAGGCTCATTTCACCGCCTGCAGAAAGACGCGGCTAGCCGCGGAAAAGGAGGAGGAGAAGGCCTACCGAGACGGACTCGCCTTCATCGACCGTCATGGGCCCCGCGGTCTCGCTATCGCGGGAACCTACGCAACCAGGCTGCAGGAGGCCATAGAACTCAAGGCCTACCTCCAGGAGACGATCTCCGAATGGCGAAAGGAACGCGAGGCTCGCAAACAGCGCGAGGAGACGTGACAACGCTTACGAGAGGAGCAACGTCAAGCCCAGGAGCACCTCGAGACCGTAAAACGGCAGCTCGCAGCCTTGGGCGACCCACCGACGTCCCACTCCCGTCGAGCATCCAACCAGGCTATCCCGAACGACCGGACGCGCCGCACGCCAGGCTACTTTGCCCTGCAAGGAGCCGCAGGAGACGAGCCGTGCAACCGCTGGGCCGGTCCCCGTCCCGACCTCTTCGGCAAGCGGGCTTGCTCCACTTGCGGCCTCACGGGAGTACCTCGAACCTCCGACTGCCCGAATTGGTCGAGGTACGAGCTTTGGAGGAGCGGCGGACAGCAGCCGTACTCGTATAGCACGGTCGAAACGCGTCAACGCCGGGAAGCCTTCCTTCGAGACCGAGAAGAGTCGTCGGTCACCCACGCGGACGACGGCGACAGACGAGGTGTATCCGGACACTAGGTCTAAACCTAAGCGCTACGACCATCCTCACGACCTCGCCCTCGAGGTTTTCCCCCCCAAGAATCAGGCATTGACGCCCATTTTTTTTTCTTTTCTCTTCTCGTTTTCTTTTATCACGCGTTATTATTAGATTTGGGATCCGCGCGAGTAGAGAGTTGCGGTAAGCTACATTCCACCTAGAGCTTCTAGTGTATAAGATGTCGAAAGAAATAAGTAAATAAAACATCTTTTTTTACCACTACGATGTCTTGATTTTTCTTTATCAATTAATTTTCCTTGCTTGGTGGAGAGAGACAGGTTTTTCGATCTGGTACGCCCTGCTACCCAGCTCTGGGGAAGGGGCATATAACGAGCGGCCAGACCCTCGTTATGTCTCTCTCTCCCCATTCATAATTATAATTATTCTTATATATATAATTGTCTTATAATTATCCCACATGTATGGCAGCCAAAGGTAAGTCAGAGAGAGCGCTAATAGAGGGCGAGCTAGAGAGAGAGAATTCGGGAGGCCGGCGCGACGCACGCGAGTAGGAGAGTGGGGCAGAGGCGCGCGATAAGGACTCGCTTTTGTACCGGCGACTTCGAAGCACGTGGACGTGTGACGAGCGGCTATACTCGTGCTTGCGATCTTTTGTTGTCCGACCTTCCGTGACTAACCTTTTGTGACTGACTTTTCGGTTGTCTGCGAATACGCGAGTGTCTACTCGATGTAAGATACCGGTGCCGAGATTACCCCTAGTGCCTTTGGCGGGCTAGTTCCTGCGACCACGCGTGCGAGCCTTTAAGGCCGCCCGCCTCTTGACTGCACCCGAGCTATACACTGCGCGTCATCGCGAGCCACATGCGAGGCTGAGTATATCGCCTGCAGGGCTAACGCCGAGACATCAATGTAAGTACCTTCTCGAATACGTGTCTCTCTCGCTAGCTTTCGCCACTCTCTCTCCCGCTTACGCTGCGTATTAATTTTGTATTACTTTCCGTAGTAAACTCGATGTTACTCGTATATCTGTTTTCTTCTTTTACGCTTCTTTTTACCTATCGTAAATAATCCCGTTCCGTCCGGCTTTCGCACCTAAATTTCGTGATTGTTCCAAAGCGCCCATAGAACTACACGACGCTCTCCGCGGGCCAAGGTAACAGACGCTGCACCACAACGTTCCTGTTGCTGCTGGGCTAGGCTTTGCGCAGCCTATTACGAGGCCCACACCGAGCTGTTTTAATCCCCTCGTAATTTATATAACGAGTGACCCGCGCTGGGTCAAAACCCCGTTATAATCTCTATTTCGCAACGTAATTTTAAATGTTTAAATAAATTATCAATTTATTATTTATTGATAAATCGGTTAAAAAATCAGTTATCAAAGTGTCAAATTCTGGCTTCTCATTCTTAAGATGCTAGTATCACAGTATCACTGTTTTATATTCAAATTTGCATCATATTCATCTATTGCAAAATTTTTAGTGATATTTACTTGCAAATTTAATTAAGTTGACTAGTAAAATAAACGATCATAATAAGTTGAAATACGAGATAGCGCATTGAATTTGATTAAAAAAGTGCTTTTGTTCATTTTAGAAGCTTGCAATTATTGATTTTGCATAGTATACAATAAATTTTCCACGTTTGTGACATTACATTCCTTATATAGTCTTGATTTTAATCAAGTACCCTAACACATTCAAGCGTGTACGTGGGGTAGCACCTGAGCGCTTTTCCTCAGTTTTCGGACGTGTGGCGAATTACTATTGCGCAGTGAAAAGCGAAAAAAGAGACAAATCTAACTGGATCATTAAACTGGTTTTTATCTGATAACAATAAATCAGAACCTTCTATAATTTTCATTATTACTTTTTGAACTTTTTTTATTTTGCGGTTGTTTATTGCATTTAAAAGTTTATTTTTATTACATGATTTCTTTTTGTTAATTAATATTTTATTTTCAACAATTTTATCACTCTTAGTCGATAGATTTCCTTTTTGCTATTTATGTCACACCTAATTGATCGATTTGTAATTAACTGAAATTCATATTATCGAGTTCTGATATGAGTCATGATATATTATCGAGTTCTGAAATTACAGTTTATCTCGCGGTTGGATCAAATAAAAAATTATACATTAGTTATTCAAGGAAACTTTTAATCCTTGTCCTTAACGAATAAAATTTACTTATCATGAATATTTGTGTATGAGTAATAAACTAAAGATTTAGAAAGAAAGTAACCTACTAGAATAAACTTGGTAAGTAGTAAATACTCTAAAGGACATACATTGCAACGGTAATGATTGTACGTATTGATTCGTTCGCAATTCGGCAGCAGTGGAGGCGCGCCAGCTAGCGATTTGAAGAGAAAGAGGGCGCGTGGAAAATTGCATTAATAACATCTTAGTTGGCAACCGGTACTCAACTGAGTTTTTCTTCCAAACACAAGTTTTCTGGTCGTGATATCGAGGTGTTGCGGAGTGTGGAGCGACGGAGACGGTAACAACAGCGAACGGAAGTCGGCGACAGCAGCTTGCAGCGGTTTGAATGACATCGTCAACAGCTTTGGCGGCATTGGCATCGACTGACGCAGTAGTGCCCATAGAAGTAAGGAGCTTCCAGTTATCAGCAAGTTTATGAACAGGTACGGTTGATCACCGTAACCGAAACTCACGGTAGGCGCACCTACCTTTCTTTATCTTTGCCTGCAGTATACTCATTTCCCGGAAATATTTGCACAGATTTTGTCTAGGGGATTGTAAGAGATAATTAACAGCCTCTACATACCATTCGAAAAACAAGAATCATAAGTCAGGTGACTTAAGGTGAGTTCAACTGAAGGAGTTACGAGAAGTTGGATCTTGAATCAAACGCAAAGGCGGATTCACGTATACTCATACGTAGATAACAGAGTGGCGGATAGCTCTGCATCGTGGGATATTGAACCACCATTTTCCCCGTTTGCACGACTAAATTCCTCCCTCTTACAACATATGCAGATATAGGATTTCCAGTATGACTGTTTGTTTTTTTCCATAAAGTTTTAGGCTAAAATTTTGTGTAAAAGCAAATATACTTGTAATTTTTAAAATTTATAATAATAGTGGTTTACATGAATTAAAGAATATGAAAGGATACTAAGAACTTGACCATCATCGGCTTTAGTTTGGATAGCATGAACTATTGGAAAACTGAATTTTCCCTCCGAAAGATCTTCACAATAACTTTTATTTTCCGTATACTGCAATAAAACAAACGTAGTTACTGTTATGTATTCTTACATATTTATTATTGATTTATATTATTCAAACCAAAGTATTTAAATATTGTGAAAAAAATATAGTATATATTAGTCATTGACTTTATTAGGCTGTATAATACAATCCTATGTCTACATGATAAAGATAAATTAAAATTTACTTATATAAAACAGAACTATTGACGTCGTACCAGCATAAAGAACGATACCTCAAGTATGTTTCTCGGAAGCTGCATAATAAGAAAGGGGTAGAAGCAGTTGAGGTGATAGCAAAATCTTGACGACACATGTTTACACATACTACTAAGAAATTCCTGACTATATCGTAGCGTATTTTTTGTCGTTCTTATCCATTTATGATGAAAGTGCACATAATGGCAACGAAGTATCAGAGAGAGAGAAAGCAATCCTGAAGTCATCTCAATAGATTACGTTGCGAAATGTACTACAGGTAAGAAAATAGCGTATTGCGTACTAAACCATGTTGTTTTACATGTTGGACCACATATCATTACACATCTGATACTGAGAGTCATGTTGTCGTAAGAAAGAAGTTTAATTTATAGTGCAGAAAGCAGCAGACGATAATCAAGCTGTGTTGTCATGAGGTTTTGGAAGTTAGACTATATTAATGGGGACAGAAACTTCTGCCTTATTTACAATTCATCCGATTATTTATTAATTAAGAACAATAGCTATACAAAGAATATACTAACATATAAAAGTTCTAAAATTATATGATCTCAGGTGAATGATCTAATGTAACTTACCTATGTTTTCAGAGCGCGAACCGCGTCCATATAAGTAATAATTCATATCACTGGAAAGAATGTATTATGTCATCTTAAGACCATTTTGTGGGTTATTGACCGCGAAATAGGTGGAGCTTTTTTTAATAAGTGGACATTCTTTCATCCACGAAGAGGGCGGGTTTGATTGGGTTGAATCATCATCCCTTAAATCCATTTTTCGTAAAGTCTGCAAAAGTATATCTTCGCAATAAATACTAATTCACGTATAACATTTCGCGGAAACTTATGTTCGGATAAGTGACAATTGACGATGATTAATTCGCACAAATGTTTATATAGGACGATCCATGTCAACCGGATCACTGCTGTGTCCAAAATTTGATGTGACCAAAAAAATCGTGCAACGACTCATTTTAAAGCTTAGGATATCTACTTTCTGATGCTGTGTGTGCCTTTGCAAAATCCAACATGGCGGCTCCAATATGGCGGCTACAAGAGACAAACTCGTAAACAAAAAATTTTATTTTTCAAATTTTTAGTAATAAATGTTACAAAAATTAATATTTCATATTTTTTTATGAAAATCTGGCTCATTTCCTACAAAAAAGTAACAGAGACCATTTTCGCTAAAATGAAAAATAAAAAAGTTATAATTTTTTGAAAATTTTCAAAAATAAAAAACTTTTTTTACTCAGAAGGAAATGACTTTGGAAAAAAAATTTAAGGAACGAAATTGCTTGAAATTCATCAAAACACAAGTGTGAATTTTTTCGAATTCCTTTGAGCGATTTTTTGCTTTCTGCATTTATCGGATTGATTGAAAAATTAAAAAACTTCCCAAGATCTTTTACAAAAATTCATACGTAGTTTACGACTAATTATAAGAACTTTTTTTTAAATTAGTTGGTCTATTTTAGCTTGTTCTTTCTACGCCTTTTATTTTCGGAAACGATAGTCTTTTTCAAGATAGTCGTTTTTCTGATATATTGGGTGGTACTCAGTTCGGTAGAAAATCAGTAACGGTCCTCCTCAGGATAGTTATTGAGATAATTTTCCAGGTTTGTGCGGAACATCGGTGGTCAATTTCCAATAGTCCTTTTCAGAATAGTTGGTGTATTTCCTACTTGTTTCATTTCTATTAATTTTCTTATTTTATTTCCATTGTTTTTACAAGTACGTATTCGCATCCTAACTGTGGACATGGCTGATTCGTCACAGAATCTCCATTCTAAGAGATGTTGTAACCCACTGGGTAAAGATGGTCATGTGGGTAAAAACTTGCGGAATATTTCGCAAGGTATTTTTGAGTCCTATCCAAATTTGCATCCACTATCAAAAATTTGTCACACTTGCAGAAAAAGTATTTATAACTCTCATAAAGATCTTTCTTTTGAAGGTAATAGTCGAGATTACATGGAATTTGATGACTCCTTGAATGAACCTCCGAATAAAGGAATACGCGAATCCTGCAGTAAAAATGATAGTATAGAGGACATGAAATTTGATGATTCCTTGGAAGAACAAATGCAAATCTAGAGAAGAACAGTTAGAAGAACTCTTGAATGGCCTTAAAAAGAAATTCCTAAGTTTATCTGAAAATGATCCAATGCGTACGTCTATTCTCACTATAGCTCCTGATTATTGGAGCATTCGTATAATCATGGAAGAATTTAAATGTTCTTATAGACTGGCAAAAAACTCTAAGGATTTGAAAAATGCTGGTGGAGTATTATCAGTACCACCTTTCAAAAGGGGAAAAAATATAGATGAAGAAGCTGTATCGAAAGTTATTGAATTTTACGAAAATGACACAAACGGTCGCATTATGCCGCATAAAAAAGAAGTTATCAAAGTCAAGATAGATGGTGTGATAGTTTCTAAACAAAAACATTTACTACTGTATGATGTTAAAGTTTTACATTTCATGTTCAAGGAGAAATATCCAGAACATCTTATTGGATCATCTAAGTTCGCAGAGCTGCGTCCTAAATGGTGTGTTTTAGCTGGATCATCAGGAACACACAGCGTTTGCATATGCACGACTCATCAGAATGTTAAACTAATGTTAGATGCTATAAATCTTAAATTTTTAAGCAGGGATTCTGAATTTCAATTATGTGACTACAAAGATTGTTTTAAATTCATTCAGTGTAAGAAACCTACAACTGATTGTCATTTGCTACAGTGTAACAAATGTCCTAATACTGAGAAGCTTTCCGACTTCCTTTTGGAATTATTGAAAAAAATAAAATCGAACAAGTTATATTCAGCACTTGGCAATCTACTGATCGCTGTACTCTCAAACAAGAATGTCTTCCCTCAAATGAATTTATAGAAGTATTGTGTGATCGCATCAAAGTTCTCATTACGCATAGTTTTATATCAAATGAACAAACAAAATTTATATCTGATAAAAGGGAAAATTTAAAAGAAAATGATATATTGCTACACTGTGATTTTGCGGAAAATTATGCATACGTGGCTCAGGATGCCGCTCAAGCTTTCCATTATAACAATGACCAATGTTCGGTTTTTACTGTTGCATTTTACTATTGCTCCAATACCGAATTAAAACATCACAACATGATTTTACTATCAGATTGCACAACCCATGATGCAACAGCAGTTTATTTAATGCAGCAGAAAGTGATACCGATAATTAAAATGTTGTGTCCAAAAAGTACAAAAATTTATTATATATCTGATGGTGCCAAGTAACATTTTAAGAATAGAACTCAAATGATGTACCTTGCCCATCACAAGACTGATTTTCAAATTGATGCGGAATGGCACTGTTATGCAACGTCTCATGGTAAATGCATCTGTGATGGACTAGGTGCTTCTTTGAAGAGTGAGGCAACCCGATATAGCTTACAAGCTGAACCAAAAAATGCTATATTAAATTCTATAACTCTCTTTAAATGGGCTAAGGAAAAGTTCAAGAACATATAATTTCTTTACTATACAAAAGAAGAACATAAGAGGTTATCTGATACATTAAAAAGAAAATTCCCCAACCCACCTGCTGTAACCAAGATTCAAAGTAGCCATGCGTTTATTCCAAATACTGACAATAAATTGATAATAGACGCTATGCGGCTGCAAAAGATAATGTGGATATAATACAATATTAGAATTAACAACAGTTGTACATTAATTGGACAATATCTTACACCATATCTAACCACTGAATTATTCCCAGTATAATTTAAAAACAGCTGTCCCCCGGGTACACATGTTTAATGCCTTGGGGTTATAATTTATTGAATTTTTAATTGCAAACAGTTTGCCTCATAGCTTGTGTGGGTTATTTGGTTATTGGCCTCACTAGTTTATTCTCATTATAATTTAAAAATTTCTGCCCCTGGGCACGCAGGTTCAATAGCTTGGGGTTAGTTTTCTTACATTTTTATTTATAAACAGCTTCTCCTGAGCTTGCGTGGGTTATCTGGTTGGTGTCTAGCGGTCCAAGTTACTTTTTCGATTTACTCAAAAAGGATCGCCTTTACTGAACAATCTTATAAAATGAAAAGCTCTTAGAATTAGTCGTAGACTACGTATGAATTTTTGTAAAAGATCTTGGGAAGTTTTTTAATTTTTCAAACAATCCGATAAATGCAAAAAGCAAAAAATCGCTCAAAGGAATTCGAAAAAATTCACACTTGTGTTTTGATGAATTTCAAGCAATTTCGTTCCTTAAATTTTTTTTCCAAAGTCATTTCCTTCTGAGTAAAAAAATCGCAAAGTTTTTTATTTTTGAAAATTTTCAAAAAATTATAACTTTTTTATTTTTCATTTTAGCGAAAATGGTCTCTGTTACTTTTTTGTAGGAAATGAGCCAGATTTTCATAAAAAAATATGAAATATTAATTTTTGTAACATTTATTACTAAAAATTTGAAAAATAAAATTTTTTGTTTACGAGTTTGTCTCTTGTAGCCGCCACATTGGAGCCGCCATGTTGGATTTTGCAAAGGCGCACACAGCATCAGAAAGTAGATATCCTAAGCTTTAAAATGAGTCGTTGCACGATTTTTTTTCACATCAAATTTTGGACACAGCAGTGATCCGGTTGACATGGATCGTCCTATATATATATGAGGGGTATTCAAAAAGTAAGGTGACTTTATGGTTTTCTCAAAAACTATTTATTTATTGGTCAATATTTATGTTGTCTCCTTCAAAGTAATCCCTGTTAGATATAATACACTTGTTCCCTCGCCAATCATCG